TGTGTGTGTGTGTGTGTGTCACGTCCACAGATGCTTATCAGCCTGTGGTTCTATGACGCAGCAGCTCTTACCATGTTGGCCTCAGCACTCCAGACCCGTCCGAGTCATCAACTCTGATCGCTCCATTAAGAAAGGCATAATGGCAGATGACCTGAGAGACCTACGAAACAAGGTGAGGACAGGAATTAAAAGGATCGGAGTAAAGGAAGGAGTAAAATGTAGCATTGGAAGAAAGAAAGAAAGAAAGAAAGACTATGTTACTTTGTTGCACTCAAATTATTCATATAATCATAAAGTAGTGATTGAATAAATTCACAGACTTCATTATTAATTCAAGGTTGGGTGGTACCAAAACTTTATTTTCTTAAAGTAATGTTTGCTACCTCAAAATAACTAACTGACTAACTAACTAAATAAATAAATTTATATATGTAAGTGTCACGAATCCGGTCCATGAACTTCCGTCTGCTAGCCATCAGAGGTCAGCCTTTCCATTTTCATTGACTCTCGCACTACACCCTGTTGCATATCACCCCGGCCTACATATCCCATCATTCATTGCACTGACTGCACACAGCACTGATTGCACACAGCTGTTTCATATCACTCACTCACTATATAACACTCACTCAAACAACCATTCTCGGCCGAGTATTGTATGCGCTTATCGCCAGCAGTGATAGCTACTCTACAGAGCCCTCATTAGCTTCCTAGCCTAGCCTAGTCTTGCCTTGCCTTGAGTCTTGCCTTGTCTGTTTTCTCGGTTTTTGATCTGTGCCTGTTTTCCTGGATTTATCCCTTTAGTCTCGCCCTTGTGATCCTGTTCGCCAATCGTTGACCTACGCTAGCCCTAGGACTATTCTTGTGTCTTGCCCGCCATATACCTGTTTGCCACCGTTCTACCCTGCCTGTGTTTCTGACCTCCTCTCATGTTAATAAAGCTTGCATATGGATCCGCACGTCTCACGTCTTGTCAGCCCCGTTACAGTAAGTCACGGGTATATTCAGTTTTGTTCTGTTTCAATTTAGTTTTCTGTTCCCATTTGCCTTCCTGATTTTCCTACTTTGTTCCTATAGTTACTAATAGCCATGCACCTGTTTCAGTTCTATTTAATTACACTCCCTTTGTATTTAAGCCCTCGGTTTCCCTCTGTTCCTTGCCGGTTATTGTTTATTTTAGGAGCCGGCAGCTGGCAGAGGATTTCGCAGCCTTCCTCTACATATACTCTGTGAGGGAGTGGCTGTGATTGGATGATGACAGGTGACGTGATCATTCTCAAGTGTCGTGAGCAGCACTGCTGCTGTTGCATCTGTCAGTGGTTAGATCAGCATAGCAGTCAATAAACGGGACAAGGGAGGTCACGTATGGGACACATCAATTAAGCCCAATATACGGGACGTCCCGGCTAATAAGGGACAGTTGGCAACCCTATCTGTAGTCAATGCATGGACGGAGACCACCGTCCTTCTTCTTGGCATAGAAGAACCCAGCAGGAGCTGGAGATGTGGAGGGACAAATGAAACCCTTGGCTATTTCCTCTTCAATATAAGTTGGCATGGCCTCAGGGAAAGATTCGACCCTTAGGAGGAGTTGTACCAAGAAACATTGCAATAGCACAGTCGCTTGGTCTGTGAAGCGGTAATTGGGTGGCTTTAGCTTTACTGAATGCCTCGACCAGATCTGCATACTCCACAGGTAGATTGGGCACAACGGGGGATTCGATGTTGATGGTGGCTGCCTGAAGAGTACACGGCTCAACAGCCTGTAGACAGTGTTGATGACAGTGCTCAGACCATTGTGTGATTTGTCCAGCAGTCCATGAAATCTGAGGTTCATGAAGTTGAAGCCAGGGAAGGCCGAGAATTACTGGGTTGCCAGGGGATTGTATGATGTAGAAGTGAATGGTGGTGAGGATGATCTCATTTGTAGTGTGTTGAAATTAACTGGCAGTCAGAATCAATAAAATTGCCAGCCGCTCCAGAATCTATCATGGCCATGGTTTTAGTAGATCATTTATCAAAAGATAGCTCAACGGGTACTTTAACACACTTGTTAGTATGAGGAGGGAAACTCACCGCCGCAGAGGATTGCTGTGTGGGTCGTGTCGGGCAGGAAACCTTCATGTGACCAGCTTATATCCAACTTGCATGGGTTCGTGGTTAGGTACTGGCGGGGGACTGTGGAATCGAAGAGACTGGTTCTTGTGTGGGTGGCGTGAGCGAATAAGATTGTCTGTGTGGACGGCAAGCTCAATGAACTGATCCAGGGTTCTGCCCTCATCACGACAGGCGAGTTCAGATTGTAGTTCTATATTGTGGAAGAGAAGCTTAAGCGGGTCGTCAAGCCATCCTGTCTGAGCTGCTAGTGTGCTGGAATTTAGAGCGAACTCCGCTGCTGTACTTCTCCCCTGTCGAAGTGCTAGAAGTTGATCACCAGCGAAGCGACCCCCTTCAGGATATTCAAACACCTACTTAAAGTGTTGAATAAATCCATTGAATGAGGGAAAAGTGGGGCGATCATTAGTGGTGCAACGGATCACAAAACTCACGGTTGGGACCATATTATGGATTTTGAGTCACGGATCAGATAAAAAAAAAGTTTGCTTTTCATTTATTACTGAAAGCTTATTTAAGTGCTTCTATACCACAGCAAAAACTACTAGCTGAACTAATAAAGTCAGTAATAAAACAAGAACAATTACACAAATTACATGCGTAGATGAATACAACAAGTTACTAATAAAGTCAGTAACACTAGTATTCAGGTGCAGAAATTTAATAATTGTAAAATAACATAGTAGCTCTCTTCACTGCATAAGTTAAATATAGCAGACAGAAGCAGGTATTTTTAGGCTGCTGTCTCTTTAAAACCAAATGCACGTACCTAATATACTAACACACATGCGCTTTCTTTCTCAACTGTTTCGGTTCACTTAAGACATAACCGACTGTTTTTACCAGAATACTTGCCAAAACGGGTATTTTAATATAACTTTGTGTGTATGTTTCCATTCAAAGAGAGTGAAAGAGGAATCAATCTGTGTGAATCGCGCCTCTCTCTCTCTCTGCGTGTGCTTGCTTCGGATGTGTGCGGCAACGGTAGAAAACAGTGCGCGTGTTCTCTTTTGCTTGAATGGTGTAACGAATCAGCTCATGGGGAAATATGAATAATTAATCATAACTAGTTATAATTAATTATGAATATTTAGATCCGCTGTAGAGACCAAACACGTTATATGTAAGGTTACATGAATGAGTGGTTCTATCATAAGCATGCATAAAATAGTCTACAATACAACAGATAATATACAAGACAGCAATAATATACACAATGACCTGAAGGCTATGCGTGTTCATTCAAATAAAAGTTTTCCTATGAATTAATTAGTAGAAAAGTCCAGTTCCTACTGTGCCTTGGGGATTTTCCTTATGGAAAAGGCAGTGATTTTCCCCAACTAAATTCCATTAGGTCGTAAATGTATCTGGTGTCAGGGTTGCCATGGTAACCAAGGGGGGGGCCTGGTGTCGTGGCAGACATCCTGGCATCCAGTTTATTTGGTGAGGGGACTGTGACGATTTGTTAATCTAATGAATAATTGATTTGTTAAATCAAATGAAAAATGGTGTGTCTGATTGGTCCAGATGCTACAATGGTTTAAAATTGTTTGAATGGGTAAATTGGCAAGACAAAACACATGCAAACGATAAACTTACGATAACTCTATGATGGTTAAATTTAATAGTTAATCCGCGAATTGCATGATTGCTGGCTGAACCGTGCTGGTCCGTACGGATCACGGATTATCCACGATCCGTTGCACCCCTAGCGATCATAGTCCCAAATGGCCGTAGCCCAGTCTAAAGCTTTGCCAGTCAACAGAGAGCAAATGAATGAAATGCGACTCTCATCCGTGGGGTATAACATGGGTTACTGAGAGACAACCAAGGAGCACTGAAGTAGAAAGACCTCACATTTAGCAGGAGTGCCGTCGAACCTTTCTGGAAACTCTAAGTGGGGACTGGCAGTGGAGTGTGCCATTGGCGTGGTGCTGGTGGCTGTAATCAGTGGTGGAGCACTTGATTCAGGAGCAGGCAGCCGTAGGGCTTGTAAAGTCTTTACCAGCTCTAAAGTTAGAGATGTGAGTTGTGTTAGTTGTTGCTGGTGGGCAGCGAGAATGTTGGCTTGTGCTGCATCGGTTTCTGGCGAAGTCTTCTGTAACGGGGGGTCATTGGAGTGAGGATCCATGAGCAGCTTTATTAAAAAGTCAGACAGGCAGGGTTCAATCACCATCAAACAGGGAAATCAGAGGCGAGACAGTGGCAGCATCAGTGAACAGGCAGAGGGTCGAGGAAGGCAGCAAACAATACAAACGTTAGTCCAATCAACAGAGCAAAGAGTCCAAGGCAGGTAGCAAACAATCGAGAAGCAGGTGACAATCCTGGGTCAAACACGGTAATCCAATAGAGAAATACAGGGAACGCTCAGAAATGTCAGGCGGGGCAAAACAAGACTTCGCAATGTGTGTGCAGCTTAAATAGTCCGGGTAATAAGCAGCAGGTGTGCTCGTGCAGAATCCTCTGCCGGCTGGTTGCTCCCGCTTTACAGAAAGCGGCGGTCACACTAACGCCAATTCCCTTCACTGTCCGTGTTTTGACTTCAGCAAATCAGTTTTGGCTAATGCAAACAACGTTATTATTTTTCATAAGTCCAACATCCAGCCGCGCAAAAAAACATGCAATCTACCTGAGCTGTGATCAATAAGGGAAGTCATCTTTCACTATTTTTAATGTTGTTAAATAGAGAAAAACATTTTACGTTTAAGTAACTTCTAGCGTATTCTTAACCTTTGACCTTATTCTTGAAACACAAAATGACCAATAAAAAAAATGGAGCCCACATTAAATTTAATAAGTTGTCTTTAATTGAAAAATATGATTTTTCACACACACAACCTGATCCGGATTCGAGAGGGGGGTGAGTGGAAAACAGCTTTCTCCACAGCCTCTGGGCACTACAAATATCAGCTGTAGCATTTGGACGAATCAGACACAACTATTTGTTATATTTAACAAATAATATCTAACACCCCCT